ACATGTATAAACTGATTTTGACTTGATAGTTATGCTGATCTACTAAATATTTTCAGGTGTGGAGACAAATTCTGGTTTTGGCAGTTTTGCATGGGACTTAGATAAGTAAGAAATGTTAAAAGATTATGGATGCTAACAATTGTGCTTCCATTTTATTCAGATAAGCAGTGAAAATTTTCAAAATCAACATGGACAAAATTTGGTAGAATCTTTAATTGAAAGGGAAGGTATGCCAAAGTCTTGCTGAAATGGGCAATAATTCAAAAATCCATAGGATTGGAAGAGAGTACCATCTAGTCCAACAGCTACCAGAATTTTTTCTTATTCCTCCTAGTTGGAAGGATTTGAATTTTGCTCCTCTTCCATACATTGTTCAAAAAGAAGAGGATGAAAAATCTCAGTGCAGCTTTAGGTTATCTACTTATGTTTTTTTCAGGGCACACTAAAAAAATTCCCATATGCAAAAGATAGTTGGTGCTTGCCCTCCTAATCAAAATGATAACTCCCTTCTCAGAATGGAATGAGTAATCATGGAGAAGACAACAGTGAGCAAGGTTTGTTCAATGGTTTGATGTGAATAAGCCTGGTAAGAAATACATAAATATTGATAAGTTTAAGTGATCCAGGAAAACTATGAAACACATACACACACATTGACAGTGGCAATGAACAACGTGGAACAGCATTTCCCACAATTCTTGAAAAGAAAATCTGTTAGCAATAGCAATGTATATGTAAAATAACAACTACTTAAAGTATTACTAAAAGATATGAGTTCAGCAAAAGTGCCTGTTTATGGAGAAAACCTCTTTCAAAAGCTTTAAAGACCATTTGAAACCAGTTAGGTTTTGGGAAACTGCCTTCTTGAGACCAATTCAAAGAGGGGTAAAAGCCATATGGCCTGCTTAAATGTATCTGCTTACAATATTTCTATCCCTACCATATGTATGAAAGGGGATTTTGTAACACCTTAGAGTCAAATTGAGAGAAAGAAGTTGGCAGCACAGGCTTTCATAGACTAAGTTTAGATCTTGAGATACTTCTAAAGAGGTAGAGTTAGGACTTTATCACATGGACTTTGAGAAGCCATTGGGGAGCATCTGTTTAGCCAAGGGAATGGCACTGTTAGATCCTCAATCGTCACATTTCAAGTTCTGTCTTCCCATCACAAGTTTTTCTCTTCCAGTTTTCACCGATATCACATGTGTTTTTCATATCACATGTATTTTTCAGTTCTGGCATTTGCCAGGGGCTCAGGTCCTTTCAGCACACTTCTGTTCCATTTCAAGGATGAAAGGCAATTAATAACAGCCAGAAGTAGGCAAATGTCCTCTGATGGATTCTATGCCACTTCGTCCTTGAAATTGACCAGAAGTGTCCTACAATGGGGAAAACACTCCATGTGATGATGTCCTTAGTTTACAAAAGCCTATACTATCAACATCTTTCTCTCAGCTAGTCTTTAAAGTACTACAAAGGTTTTTTTTATTACTGATGTTGCCGAATAACATGGCTATGTCTTGGGATCCTATTACATGTAAATGAGTTAGCTGATACAGCTATATGAGCCATATAAGATCATAGAGTTAGAAAATATCCTGCCAAGAAATGAAGTCCCATGGGTTCTTTGTGTTTTCTTATTGTTCTTAGCTAAAAAAAAAAAAAAATCCATTCGGCTTAGAAAAGTATGTTGGAAAAATCAGAGATAAATCTGTTTTGATAAGTTCAGCGATGTAGATGTAGATGCCATCTATGATTCAGATAGGTCCAGGGGCCAGATATGGCTCACCATGCCATTTTATTTGGCCTTCCGGGGGCTGGATTACAACCCCTGTATTCCTTATCATTAGAGATCATGAGTACAACTAATGGGAGTTGTGATACAATAACATCTAAAAGGCTGCAGTTCTGTTCAGTCAGGATAGTGAGGTTTGAATTTAGATCAAGGCTTCTAGATATGAAGTCTTACTTCAAAATGCCCTTTAATCTTTCCCCAACCTCACCCACAAGTGATGTTGTGTTGCAATTTCCATTATCACCAGTCCACATGGTGGATAATCAATAGTGATGGGAGTTGTCATTCAACAACATATGGGGACCCAAATTGGTCAAAACTAAAGAGCACTGTAAAAAATATAGTTGAACCTCTGTATCAATGGCCCTTTGAAGGTAACCATAAGGCTGATGTGGCCTTTGATGAAATTGATTTTGACATCCATAGCCTAGGGCTTTTTGAAATGGTTAATTTTCCTATCTTCTCCACTTTGTAATCTAATCTAATCTAATAGAAATCCCACATTATTTCGTCAGTAGACAATACTCTTTAGATCAGGGCTTGATTGATCAGAGTTTGTTGTTGCTAGACTGCAACTCCCACCTGTACTGGGTAGGGGTAGGGAGTTGCAGTCTAGCAACAACCTGCTGCTCAACAGCATCTGGAGGCTGACATGATTCCAACTGAGAGGAAAGTGAAAAATCCTTTATTGTATCATGATGCCAAGGAATTCAGGAAGAAGTTTGATTGGAACACAAACTGACCACATTGGCTAGGAGATTCTGAGATTTGTTATGAAAAAAATAGACTGTTTATTGTAATGCTCCTTAAAAACTCTTAGTTCTTTCTATTCTTGGTGACATGCCGGAATGAAAATTCAGAAGACCAATATTGGCCATGTATGTTTGAATAAGAGACTTTCAGGCCAATTTATCCAGTTTTCATTCAAATATTATAATAATTCAGAATTGGTTCATGTTTTCTTATGTTGTAATGAAAGTGTTTTTGAAGTAATAGTGTGTGAAATATGTTCATCTTTTCATGGTACCAACTGTTCCACCACAAAAATGTGTTGGGTGGTACACTAAGAACTCAGTGTGGGAGGGAGGGTTTTTTGATTTTCAGGGGTCTTTCCTCCTTATCCCTTACAAAATACAAATAAGAACATCAACAAAAAAATCCCACTTAGCCAAATATTTCATCTTATTCTCTCTTTGTCCTCAATGGCAAATACTGTGTGCCTAAGAAGAACACATTCAGAATTCCCAAAAATGAGAAAAATCACCTCTAAGACAATTTCTGGGGATCACTTTATAAAGAAAATGTTTTTCATCAACTTATGTGGAATATTAACGCCATTGTGATACAGTGATGTGTGCCTTCATTCACTAGCTTCAACACAAATTAATAACTATTTTTGTCTGAACAGATTGGATTTCTGCTAATGGATCCTATTCATTAATTTCCTTGGCATTAGAGCAAGAGTGGGGTTAATATTTATGAGATTTTGGATTTTTGTCCAAAAAAATCTCCATAGTCTTCTGAAGATAATATCTTCATGAATATATTATCTGCATGTAATGAATATTTGACTCAGTTCTGCTTGGACCAGGAACTCTACTGGTGAGTAAAGATGTATTAGGACTGAGAGAACGCATGGTGAATTTCTCCATATTTCATTTGATCAGGCTGAATTGAAACTAAGAACATATTCAGAAATTGCAGCAACATAGGGGAATAATCTAATGTGTGCAAGGAATTGACTTTCTATTTAGCTACCTATACACTTTTCTCTGTTCATCACAAACTCTACTTACTGTAACAGTGTTCATGAAGCTCCTTATGCTATTGCAGAATTGTATGTATTAAGGTTTTTGTGTGTGTGTGTGTGTGGGGGGGAATAGTTCCTCATAAATAAATACAGTTCAACAAGAACAAAATACTAGAAATCAAATACAGGGATTTTTTTTTTAAAAAAGCATTGCACAAAACTTCATAGAAAGGAACAATTACCCACATTTAATCCTAATAGGATAAAAGGTTAAGCATAGTATTGTTTGACCCTTTCAATGGCTGACATTCATGCCGTATTATTGTTAGCTCTGCATGTTGAGCAAGCAAATTTTCAATCAACTTGTGTTGGCTTTACCACAGACACAGATGTTAGGCGGACTCCTTTGTTCATAAGGTTCTCATTATTAACTCAAACCAAACTGAATATTTGACTGAAGGAAAGGACCATATCATTGTTTTCAGATTTCACTCTATGACTTAACTGAACTACATCTGCCAGCTTTAGAAATACCAAGTACTTCTTGGCGCCAGCACTGGCGCCTCAATCTGTGACTACCAGCCTAAATGCTTCAGCTTGAGGAAGTTTAGTAACCATGAAAACAACTTAATAAAAGCTTAAGTTGTGATTAAATGTTACTCATAAATTGACAGTGCACAGCAACCTTCTTCCTGTGTATAATTTGGTCCACAAAACAGCAAATGAAATTCACAATTAAAACAGGTAGGCTAGAAAGATGTCAGGAAGATGTTTTCATGATTTATGAAGTCTGCAATTTACTTGAAACCATATTTATTTAATAGGTAAGCTGGCACTATACAACTCCATTCCATCTGCTTTAAATCTATTATAAGGCCTTAGCAGGCATGAAAAGAACTGCAAGTATAAATAGAGCTTCACTTTTCACCTTTTTTTGTAAAGCCATCTTTTAATGTCAATGGAGAGGGAAGAATTACAGACACCTTAAAAGATGTATCCTGATATGAAACGTTTAAGATTACACTACCAGTGGAACTCCCCAAAAAAGCTTTTCTTTTCCTTTTTTAAAAGAATACAATGTATTTTATAAGGCAAATTAAAACCTGAGTTTTAAAAAGGAAGTTGATAACCACAATGAAAGCCAAGTGTTTAAATTCCAATGACACATCTTGAAAACAGGAATCTGTAATGCTTTATTCTGGGAATATATGCTTCCCAAGTTGAATGAAATGCTATTCTCCAGTTTATTGAGTTTTGTAATGAATTCCTCCTGAAAAACCTAGATTTTAGCGGGGGGAAATATTCAGGTTTATATTCAGTGGCTAAATATACCATGCTGCTGACAGGCAACAGAGAAACAATTGACCAATAAGGCTAGCAGAGGTTTTCACGAGAAAAAGAATACAAACCATCTCTATTGAATAATTTATCTAAATGATGTTTTATTTCACTTACCATGTTGTATATCTTTCATATCTAAATGAAGACTGGACATTAATATTCCAACTGCTTGCGATCTTTTGTTGCTTAATAACTTGACAACCTGCCAAAGACAATAAAGTGTTATTACCTCTCAATAAATTGCTAGAAGTTACAAATAATTTGTTTTCCTATACTACAAATGACAAATCCAGAAAACAAGCAGAACTAGACTTCTTCTTTTTTTTAAAAAAAGAAGCCATTTGATAAAATGATTAATGGTTGAACTCAAAGAACATCACCTGTAGATATGAGATTTTTGAAAGAGGGTGGCATATAAAATGTATTAATGAATTAATGAGTAATTTAATGATTTTCCACCAGCAACATGGCATTTTTATTTTTGTCTTTTTATCAATATTAAAGCTTGTGCGAAGCTTTGTTTAGGGTGGATTCCAGAACTATGCAACTTATTCCATTGGTGGATGCTATGTAAGTCCTATTATTTATTTATTTATTTATTTATTTATTTATTTACCCTGTTTGTACCCCACCTTTCTCAACCCTGAAGGGGACTCAACATATAGACAACTATTCAATGCCTTAAAACAACATACAATTCAAATGAACATTTAAATTAAAAAATTAAATTAAAAGCAATACACATTAAAACATTTAAAACATTACATTCACTATTAAAAACCATGCCATCCACAATTATAATCTAGAGCCATTCTAATAGTCAATGCACATATTCCATATCTATTACTGCACTACAATTATTCTCCAAAGGCTTGATCATAAAGCCACATTTTCTTTTTCCTTCTAAAGACAAGGAGGGAGGGGGCTGATCTAATGTCCCTGGGGATGGAGTTCCACAGCTGAGGGTCCACCAATGAGAATGCCATTTCTTGTCATGCCTACAAAAAAAGTGGGGCCAAGAACAGGTCCTCACCAGACGATCTTAATCTCCAAGGTGGTTCATAGGGGGAGATATGTTCTGACAGGTAAGCTGGGCCGGAGCTGTTTCGGGCTTTATAGGCTAAAGCTAGCATTTTGAATTATGCTCGGTAGCAGACTGACAGTCAGTGGAGCTGACACGACAGGAGGGATGTCCTCTCTTGGTACGCTGCACCAATGAGGAGGGTGGCTGCTGCCCGTTGGACCAATTGAAGCTTCCAAACAGTCTTCAAAGGCAACCCCATCTAGAACACATTGCAGTACTCTATTCGGGATGTAACTGGAGCATGGACTACCATGGCCAAGTCTGATTTCCCAAGGTACGGACACAACTGATGCACCAGTTTTAATTGTGCAGAAGTTCTCCTGGCTACCACTAAAACCTGGGGTTCCAGGTTCAGCAATAAGTCTGGGAGAACTCCCAGACTCCCAAACTTGGTAGGCTTATCTATCGTAATATATAATCAATGATTTCATTAATCAAAGGAAAAACAAGTATACAAATAGTCATACAGAACAAGATTGGAACAGGAAATGATCTGTTCTGTGACTGAGTAAAAACAACCATTTATCAATAACTTGCATATATGTACCCAGCATTACCTGGGTATACATTTTGTAATGCTGTTCATTAAAATACTAATCACTAGATGTACAATTTTATCATCTGTCCCATTAGAAAATGTGTATTCAGACAACACTGAGGATACATTTGAAACTGTATCATAGATTGATTTTTCAAAGAAAGAAGTGTTATTTGGCCTTTCATGCATCTAGGTTTTGAAGCCATTCTTTTTTACTGGAAGAGGCATACTTTACAATGCCCTATTAGAGTGGCACTATTACAGTAACATTTTACAAAAGCATCAATTGAAAATGCTTTAAAAAGAAGAAATTGCAAGTGGAGACCACGGGGGAACTCTCTGAATTTCAACATTATTTTTCAAAATAAATACTAAATTTTAATCCCAGCAGTAGGAATAAGTCATTTTCTGCTCATTGCTGCTAGATAATGAATTGTGGATATGTAACCGAAATAACAACAAAATCAATGACAGCAGTTCTGGAGTTGAAAGATGCTGACCAATACAAAGGATTGCCCATTTATAGGAAAAGAATTCCTAGACACAACATTTCTAAAATTTCCAGGGTGTAGCCAACCATGACTAAACAAGTACCAAAAGAAGTTGTAAGCAAGCAGTTCAACAATGACTTTTTCCATTAAGAATTCAATAGCTGTGCTGAGAGAGCGAATGCTATGTGGTGTCTGGATTCCATTATATGGCTTGTGATGTTCCGATTGTTCCTGAGAGACAAAGTGACTGTGTGAAAGATGGCATCCCTTCTAAGGTTCCTGATATTTTATTTCCCAAACTCTAGCAAACTGGACATACAGCCGTCTCTAGGAAAGTAGATTCACTTTCACCAACATTTCAAGGTAACGTTTCATATCTAACATTCAGTATTTACATTCACATCAACAATAACACAAATACATGCTAGATCACAATGTGTGGAACCCTGAAATTACAGCTTGTACATGTTCTGCATGAAGAAGTCCAGAGGGCATGAGCCAGTGCATTGTAGTGATTTCAGAATTGGGCTATGATTCTGGATAATCCCATGATAAATTCATTTTAGGGTCACCATAACTCAGAAAGGACTTTGAAGGCACACAACTACAATGAAGAAGTTGCCTGTTAAGATTGTTGATGAATTTGAACATGTTTGAATTTTTATCATAGCCTTTGAAAGAAAAGACAAAGAAACTTCAGGACAAGGATGTGGAGCATGAGACTGTATCTAGCTGCAACTATTCAAATCTAGAGAAGCTAAATAAAATAAAATAGAACAACTGCATACATTTTCCTTTTACATTGCAGTTGGAAGCTTTAACTACACTTTAGCTTAGGAATGAATATCTACATCTAGCCTTTATTTAACTCCATCAACAGTAGCCAACATGATCAATAAGAATGTTGGGAGTTTCAGTTCAACAATATTTGGAGGGCCACAGACTCCCTTTGCTTGGATTAGGATGTCGCCACACTGCAGTTTGACACTACTTTAATGGCCATGGTTCAAGGCAAACAAGATTTGTAGTTTTCTGAGATATTTAGCCTTCCCTATCAGCAAGCACTGGTGTCACAACAAAATACAAATCCCAGAATTCTATAACATGGAGCCTTGGCAAGTAAAGTGGTGTCAAACTACCAAAGATATTTGTGGATTTGATAAACACTATAACTCAGGGGTAGAATATAAGTTTTGCCAAAACTTAGATTCTAAATGCCTTGGATCTGTGTTTAGAAGTGTTCATATCATGTGGCAATTTGACAGCTGTTTGTAGTTAAACTAGACAATGCTGAAAGAGAATAACAAACGGTCCCAATAGATGTAAAAATGTTTTCTATCTTTCTGATCATATGACAATGCAAAGCAAGGTCCTTTATCTGTTTTAAGATAAGCCACAAGGAAAATAGCAAAGCATTAGTTAGAACAAATTTGAGTGTGTACTTCCTCATCTGTCATACAACACCCGGCAGGTTGACAGGGTTGTATGGGATCAATTGTGAAATCACACTGATAAAACTACAGGTTTATTTCTAGTGTATGTGTGAAAAAGACCTTGGAGTCCTCGTGGGCAACAAATTAAATATGAGCAGACAATGTCATGTGGCAGCTAAAAAAGCCAATGTGATTTTGGCCTGCATAAATAGGAGCATAGTGTCCAGATCTAGGGAAGTCATGCTTCATCCTCTATTCTGACTTGGTCAGACAACATCTGGAACAATGTGCCCAATTCTGGTACCGCCATTGAAGGGAGATGTTGACAAGCTGGGATGTGTCCAGAGGAGGGCGACTAAAATGATCAAAGGTCTGGAGAACAAGCCCTATGAGGAGTGGCTTAAGGAGCTGAGCATATTTAGTCTGCAGAAGTCAAGGCTGAGAAGACACATGATGGCTTTCTACTGCCCTGGAGACTAGGACGTAGAACAATGGCTTCAAACTACAGGAAAGGAAATTCCACCTGAACATTAGGAAGAATTCCTAACTGTGAGAGCTGTTCAGCAATGGAACTCTCTGACCGGAGTGTGGTGGAAGCTCCTTCTTTGGAGGCTTTTAAACAGAGGCTGGACTGCCATCTGTCTGGGATGCTTTGAATGTGATTTTCCTGCTTCTTGGCAGGTGGTTGGCCTGGCCCACATGGTCTCTTCCAACTCTATGATTCTAGAGTATTGCCTACAGAGGCACATAAACCTAATTAATAGGGAATTCACAGTAAGTGCTTACCAACAACAAGTTTAAATGGTCACAAAAACTTTTTTTAAAAAAACCCACACTTTTGAATGAATGCTACAGTATCATATTTCTGCCATCACGGTGGCTGCAACAATACACAGCTAATTGACAAAATATGAATATTAGCATAATGTCCCAAAGCAATTCCCAGTACTAGAAATAAAATAAATCCATTAACTTCAGCCATATAAGCCTACAGGCAACAGACTAGTGACGCCATTAAACAGAGAAACTAAAAAGGTTTGTTAATCAAATCACTACAAGATCAAACCATCTTGGGCCCAATAGAAATATCCTCCTTTTTCTTTTAGAATTTGGAACTGTGCTTTAAAATAACTTTTAACAATACAGAGGAAGCTAATGATATTATCAGTATGCTAACATCTATGACCAAGTTTCTAACTGTTGAGCGGCCTTTATTGTTGATCAGTAAACAAACGACATGCCAAATTTGTTCCTATAAAGATAACAAAGTAAAAAAAAAGAATAAAGAATCAGATATTGAGTGAAAAGTAATGTGCCACAGATGTTAGATAATTAAATGCTTGGAAGAAAAAAAAATGACTATAATTTCCCCCCCAAATAACATCTACCTCATGCAGAATGTGTTTTGCAAGAATCTCTACTTTCTGGAACAGAAATAAATGCTGATACGAACTGAAACCTTTCAACAAAGTTAGTTATTACGACTAGCTAAATTACTAGTTGACACCATTTTTTGCAATAACTCTAGTGTTTGCAACTCAACAGTATTACTTTAGAATTAAATGATAAATGTATATGAAATCTAAAAAGACAGGTTAAGTGTGCATGGTTTAGCCATCAGGTGACATTTGTTCCTATGATTAAAGTGTTCCAGAA